TATGTGCAACGAGAATACTATTAACGTCCTTTTAACGATTACGATAACACATGAATGCACATCATCAGTGACGCTCTCGTAAACTTTATACAGAGTGTCTCACTTATAGAGAACATGTAAATTATTTCCGTTGCTATTGAAAATAGGAAAAAATGACTGAAAGTCTCCTCAAAATTATTTCAAGGTCATCGACATTTTTTTCAATATTAAAACAAGTTAAAGTTTTTTTTAATTTAATTTAATTTAATTTAATTACATGTTCATTTTTGCCAACACATCCAAATTCGACTATTAACTGTTAAACACGTCAATTTCGTTACTTTTGAGACATATTCTTCCGGTTAATCACGAAGAATTTCGCGTGTTCGATCCTCCATTAAGGTGCACGATGTTTACCATCCTGGTTTACCGCTCCAGGTCTGAAAGCTTATGCGAGCCGCAATTCCAGGAACGCGGCGAAGCACGCTGTGCTTTCGTAAACTTCTAATAATGCGTGTGTACACGCGATATCCTCTGGAAGGATTACCTTGATCCAAGTTGTGCCATAGTTTGGTATAGCGACGGCTAGACCAAAAGGTGTCCCTGGTAGAGGCGCGTAAAAGTAGTCACGTCGTTCGAGAGTCACGCGACGATTGTCATCGTAATGTAATTTCACCGGTACCCCTTTCATCTTTCCTCTCTCGTGGTCCACCAGAGCGGCACGAAGCTCCAACACCTCTGGCCCAGGGTTCCTGCACTCGTTTTTAATAAAAAACTCCCCTTAAAACTTGGTCCACGGTATGGATGAATGTGTGACACGAGGGCAATATCGTCCCTTGGATCTTTCTCAAGATTTATCATGGGGAAGTTCGTGGAATACGTTATCACTCTTCTATTAGAATCTTCCATTATACTCGAATAACGTTCGCCACTACGCGAGTGGATATTTGCGAAATTTAGAGAAGACAATTTTTTCAACGAAAATAGAAGATACACTTTTTGTGATTGATTGAATTAACACGGTTGACTGCCACGTGTGGAAGAATTGCGATAAATCAAGAATTTCTATTGTCGAGTATTTCTTCTAAAATTCATAATCAAGCGCTATGAGAAAAATCTTGTGTTGGTTCCCTTAACCGTAAATTTTATTCTATTTCTTATAATCTGTCTATTTCTTTTATAAAAAAAATTGAACAACAATCCTGCATATAATCAATTTTGCCTTTCTTTCGTGTTATTTCCAAACAGTCGTATTCAATGAAAATGTCCAAGACAAAATTTTTGGAATTTTTCTACATCAAATGAAAGAAGCGCGATCGCGCCGTTTGGCATATTTTCGGTCAGATTTCTACAACAATCTATGGCGCTCAAACGGTTAACCAAACGTGGCAGTCAACGTGTCAAAGAACATTCCGCGCGATTTCCTTTGTAAACTACCTAGGACTCCGGCCATCGTCTAAGATCTCCACTTCCGTCAGATCAATACTGTTGTAATTCAGCTTCAATTTGCCCTTGTAGACGGGCCTCAGGTCAGGATGCAGTATCACGTATCCGTTGTTAGTCACAATGAAAGCGTATCCATTCACGCCTAACTTGTATGGCAACGTGAGCTTTCGGATGTCGTCAATTGGCACATCCGTCCCAGCCACGCCTAATAAATTCGCTATTCTTGTTTGATTGTTGCGATTCCCTTTACGGTCGAACACAGGCGTACTGACGGAGGTAAGGAGTCTGTACTCTTGCCAGGCTGTAGTGTTCAACGTGGACGCATCCTGTCGAACGTCCTCATCCTTGTGGAGCTATTCGGATCAATAGAAAAAGAAAACATTCATTATCCATTAATGTATAAATTTCAATGGAAGACATTACCATTTTGTTCTATGTATGTATTACAATATTCTATATTTCTGCGTTATCCTATTGGCCCAGTTAGGCTAGCGTTAATAATATCTAACAGGATATTATAAATTCCAAGGGAGCACTGAAAATTTCATAGACACAGTGCAGTCTCGTTTGCCTTTGCACCAAGCCTTGATACTTTTATACTGCAAATCCTACAAAAAAAACAAAGCAATATGCATGCGATATAAAAAATTGTGGGTACTACGTTTGCTACTCAGATCCCTCTTACAAATATTGGATCAATGAAAAAACGTTGCTTTCAATTGGATTAACTTGCGAGGAGTAGCGGAGTCGTTAAACGCCAGCTAAAAATATAATGAAAATTGCCAGGTTCCTGATACGCTATTCGCAAGATTTTTTTTTCTTTTTTCTACGGTCAGCTAAATGCGAAGGGAGGAAGAGTGCAGAGATGAGACAGCTTTGAAGCTTAACGGGGGATGATTGTTGCTTGCTTTGAACCTGCTGTATGTAGATATCGTCCTCGTTTATTCGCACGCCGAGACGCTTTCCTTTCAGATGCTTCTGAAGTCGAGATCGTTGCTCGTGGTGCTTCATCACCAGCCATAGCCAAGTGGCGAGTGCTGGATTCTAATGGAAGGCGAATAAGAAAACGTTTACACAATCAAGGAATGGTTTATGTACAATGTGAATACAATGGAAAGAGGAGAACAGTCCCTTTTAGACACGTTTCAAGACACGAATCGAATTGGAATTAGATTGACGTTGTAATTTTGCTTTCTTGATGTGACCTAGAGAATCGTCTGGTAATCTTGTTATTATATTAGACAACCTGAAGGGAAAATTGAAAGAATGATCTCACCGTAATGTCCGCGTAAGCGTGAGTCCAAACGACAGGATGCACCAAAGCTTGTAGAACCATTGGTCGTGCCACTACAGGTATATATTTTAACACCTGTTCTCGTATCTCCTCCAGTGTATGAACGTGAGTATAGTAACCGCGATTTAGACAGGCCATCCACTGAATCTCACGAACTTTCGTGATTTCTTTGCCAAGAAGGTACGTGAATACTCTTACCGGTATGTGAGTATTATTGTCTTGCCAATTCCACGCTTTGAAGACCTAAACAAAATTCATTGATGAAAATTCTACTCCTTCAAATTGTATCGTATGAATAAAAAAAAAAAAAAAATAAACGAAGAACGTGGTCCTTCTGTTAATTATTCAGTGTACAACATGGTCTTCTTTACACCTAATAAACCATAAAGCTGCATGTGATCACGAGATCATCATAAAGATGCATTATCGTTGATGATGCATTTTCTAAGCGCTAGGAGGAGCGATAAAGAGGCGTGACAGAGGAGCGATACCGAATGAGAAAGAAGAAAGGCAGTCGTAGCGGAGGAAAAAAGAGGAAAAGAGAGCGCGGAGAGAAAAGGAGAGATGAGAGGAATGGAGAAAGATGAAAGGAAAGAGAGAGGGAGAGACAGAGAGCGCTATGATCCTCGCCGGTTCGAGTGGGATCTCATAAAACTGAAGAGCTATTTGGCTGAGGATAGAGCTGGAAACGCGACCTTTTCCCTCGGTGAAAATTCGCGCGCTCCGGATTCACTTAATTTCACTGTGGCTTCGCGACACTCTGTATATGTGCTTCTTCTAGCTTCTAGACGCGACGTAGTCGGTATAAATTTCATAGAAACGCAGTATGGCCCTGGAGCAATTATCATAAGCACGAGATGATTAAATGAGACGTTAAATGGTCTGTCGACAGAAAAAATGAGAATCGTCATTTCAAGCGATTAATTAGACGGATATTTCGTTCCAATTAAATTGTCACGATTATCGTTCAAAGATGATTATCTATTTGAGCGTAATTATTTCGTTAAGTATAATTATTGGTCTTCTTTGCTGTCGAACACGTTCGTGGAAAGATCTGTATTTTTAATAGAGGCACAAAAGGAACAGACGATTAATTCTTTTGGTAATTAGCATGGTTTATTAGTTGGTATTTACGTTGAAAATTTATTCACCTCTGTCAGATTTCCTGGAACGCCATCCGTGACGAGCATGATTAACTGGTTGCACGGTGTGTCAGCGTCACAGCCTCGGGTTTCTCTGTAGGTGCTCAAGAGGTTGAAAGCTCTGGTGAACGCTTCTGTAAGATTTGCCAAACCTTCTGTTTTCACGGTTATCGTCGCCTTCTTGAACGTCTCTACGTTCTCTGGAGTAGCTTGGATTAGCATATCTTTGAAACACGGTACCACGTCGTAGGTTTCATTCGTGTAGCTCAATACTGTCACAAAATCGTTGTTGGAAAGTGTGTCTAGTATCGTATTCACCGTTGTTCTAGCTGAAAAGAAATTTAGAAAAATGTAACAGAGATCGGTTATCTTCAATATCGAATTTATGAGGAAAAAATTCGTGTATTCCAACTGGTGTTTCCACAAATGTGGTGTTATTATAGCAACAACGAGAAGATCACGTAATCCTCGCGATACAATTGCGCCGACATACTATCCTCCCTAAACAATGCACGCGTAACCTCAGATTCGCGGTACATTCCAAGTGTGCATTATACAGCTTACACGGGACAACCGCAAATGTATTCTGGCTACGATTCTAACACAGCTTCCATGGACTGTTATAAGTTTCAAACGCAGCGTATGTATCATTTCTCGTAGTACGGTTCGAGAGTCGTGATGCAAGGAGAACGTGGTCTTTAAAGGAAACAGTCCATACCAAAAGTTTGTAACAAAAGAATGAAGAAAAATTCAAAAATTCTAAATACATCATCGTACCGTAACATCTTATAATTTATTGATTCATTTAAATGAAACTCATTCTAGTCCACTACAGAGTGTTTCAAAGAAAGTGTTAACACTTATACGAAGAATTTGTACTATATTATCTTCTCTTTCCTTTAAAAAAAAAAGGTTTCAAGAAATGTTGACAACGATGGTGAACAAATGGAGATCCTCTGAAGATAAAAGACATTTCTCTAAGAAAGTTTCTTCCATACGAGTGTTAAAACTTTTTTCAGGAACTCTGTTTGAAGTTTAACATTTAAAAACTAATGACTCCGTTCACCAATAGTCTTTCCCATGCCAGTCATACTGCCACTGGTGTCCATCAGGATCACCATGTCTTTGCTACAAGTCGCAGCCTCGATGAACCAGCTGCGTACTCTGCAATCATAAATGTCTGCCTCTGTGTCGTCACTCTCTTTTTCGTCTTCGTCCTCCTTCTTTGCCTCTTCTTCTTCCTCCGGCTCCTCGTTATTCTCCGTGGGATCTGTCCGCCACTGCATGGCAGGATACTGCCTCAACATTCCCGTGACAGAGCCGAAATACTGCCAGGACAGGGCTGGATCAGACTCGTAGTTTTGCCGGAAGATCTCGTCGAGGGTCTCGGTTTTCTTGATGTCCTCGACCACTCTTGGAGACATATCGTACACGTTCGTTGGTATGTGCACCGACGAGAAACTTGTGTTCACTGGTATGTTGTAGAAATGCGAGTCCGACGTTAGCTTCATTTCTCTGTAAATCATTTTAATGATTGCGTTAATCCTCTTTTCAACAACGAGCGCTAATTAATGTCGTTACTTAAAAATTACGAATTAGACGGTATGATTGTTCAGATGATTGCATAATTGAAGTGGATTTTTGCACGTAAAACAACGACTACGAAGTTCAGCGTAGTATCGTTTGACTTCCACGTTCCAAGCGAATGCCTCTAATTTCTTCGAGAGCTGGGCTATTCAGACCAGGACAGAACGCTAGACCCAATTCGTGGCTCGATCGTTCACCTACGAATCGATGCAGAAGATGTTTCAAGCTACTCAGCCTAATTCCATCCGGTGCCACTAGCGGGAATGTTACGATGTTACGCATCAATTATTATAAACGTGTAATAATTGCAATAATTTTACGTTCACCTAACGAACGTGTAACCACTTGTACACGTTTAAATCCAATACAGCTCGAATTGATATCAAAACTGCATATATACAAGGTAATTCAAAAACGTTAGATATGAGCCTTAAGGTTTTGGAGACCACGTAGAGAAGATACCAAGAATGCGTTGCCAATGATGGGTGAACGAGATATATTGTGTTATCAGTTATTTTTGAAGTAACCTGTATGATATCAGAATTAACCTTTTACTCTCTATGCAACAATTTCAAACAAACATATTTTATCATATATATTTTTATTATAATCGGTTTTATTGTACACCTGTAAGCATCTACGTTTTTCTCCATGTTCTCCGGGAGCGTGGGCTGCTTCTCGTTCACTATACGACTGTACTTCCCAGAAACGTAAGTGAAGTTCCCTTCCTCATCCTCCCAATTCTCTGCGTTTTCCTCGGCCGTCATCCGGATACAGGTCACCGCGTCCATCTTCCGCCGCAGCATCCTGCCGACGTTCTCGCTGATTATGTTCACCAGCTCCTCTCCAGATTTATCCTCCACTCGCGTGTTCATCGCTTTGTATTTCTGCAATTCATCAGGGGAATCTCAACTGTTATACCTCGCCTGTCTCGCCTTCAACCCGGATTCTACCGCTTTTTCCCACCCGTCACGCCACGCTACTATTAATTTCTTGCGCCCAAAACCGTCGTTTTTCTTTTTCCTTTTTTTTTTCCTCCTCCTCCTTTCCCTTCGTACGCGCCCGTTGCATTGTTCCACGAACAATACGTAATGAACTCGGCACTGTTCGTTCCTCCACGCGGATTGAAACAAAGTTTCTGAAACTGGGGAGAAAAAAAGCGAAAGAAAGTTCGAAGTTAAGTAACAGGGTTTCTGTAACACGTTTCACTGTGCCTTTTGCCGCGTAATAGCGTGGCGAAGGTTCGCTTACTTTCTCCGATTATACGGAACATTTTATAAATGACGTAATTTCGAGGTCTTAATAGCAAGTGAAAGGTTATGTTGGAGTACTTGATTTTTCGTTTTTCGCACGGTTTTATTGCGAGAGGTTGAATTTTTCCTTGTTCCGTTTGAGCTTCGAATGGCTGAACGCCATGGAAAAATATTTCTTGGCGCGAAAATAGCACCCTCTATGTCAGCTGACTTCATTGTCACCCTCGTGCTTCCACCTGGCTCGTTAATGGCTGCACAGCTGCGTGTTCGCATGGTAATGCCGCGTTCTCGTTAAGACGGCGAGACTGATTGCCAGACACCGTGCACCGCCGTTTCGTTTCACGTTGGGACCACTTTTCTGTTGACCGATTTCATACGTGTCCTTGTGAAATATGTACGATCGTTATAACAGTGCTCCATTTCGAACGTCTAATGGGAGTAATGGCCTATTGTATTACAAATCTTGGCTTACTTCTATTAATAACCAAGTCACCCACGAGCCATGCAATGGTGAACGCGACGCCGTCATTGCATCACTGTGAGGATCGTCGTAAAAATTGCTTGTTATGCACCAAGTCCAAAATCGAGCATAGGTAGAATTACGTCTGATTTAGACAAATTGTTCTTTCAAACGAGAACACAATCAATTCAGAATATAGGTATCTTTTTTGTGAGATTCGATTTTTATCATTTTCTTACGAAGTCATCTTTCTGGTTATTACGTGGAGAGAGATTACATTAAGTATTATTAATGATATGTATAACGTTTTCTTATGGAATGATTGATGTTTAAAGTGAATCATCGAATTCTTTATTAGATAGGATTGAGAAAAAAGAATACTACATTTTATTCACATTTATCTCGGAATGCATAATTCATAGTGTCCGTTGTTTAAAAAATAACGTTCAACAAGTGTGTCCGATTCATCGATGAAAACGTGTCACAGGCGGCATCTGTCTACGGAAGCTGCGTTCCTAAGCTCCCGCTGCACTTCCCGTATGCAGATCACACGCACTCCCAATTTGTTCAACATAATTTCCTTTAATTTCTCATGGCCATCGGTGTGTAGCCACATCGATAACAGGCTGCCCCACCAATTAATTACCGCTCCATAGAAGAAAATTATCTACGAAACTATTATTATCACTAGAGCGATGGGTTGACAAGTTAATTTATCATAGGTCGATACGTCGTACTATCGCGATTCTTTATCGCCTCATTTTCTCTGTTTTTTATCATATTTTCTATTAGATATCAATTTTCAAATGTTCTCTTTTAGGTTGATGTTAATTTTACTTTTATCGTTTCTTTTTCTCTATATCTCATCACTTCTCTACACCTTTCACTCTTTCACTCCCTTCTTTCCGCTAAGTGACAATAATCACGTACGAGGGCGTAACGAAAATAGTAACAGGGATCAGCAGATACTATCGGACGGTGGAGCGGAGAAAAGGAGGAAGATGGTAAAGAAGAAGACACGCGATCGCGTGACTTGCACACGTTGATACACGCACGGGTAGAAATTGAACTTACTCTTAATAGTTCTTCAGGTCTCGCCACCTTCTCTGCCAGTTCCCATAATTCGGTCCCCAAGGTTTCTGCCCATCGCGTGATTCTATAAAGCAATAAAATGACACTGATGGAATTAACATGGATATACTTTTCACTTATTAACCAATAAAACGAATGAAAAAAATTTAACCAGATAAATTTTTGAACACTTGGAACTAGAACAAATTATTTCTTTTTAATTGTCGTTACAATTATACGTAAACGATATTCCTATTCAACACTAACACAAATCACGTCACAGTATTGGAAATACGTTCTCTCAAGTTAGTAAACAAAGGCAGAACGCTCCTCTAACCTGTATCGATTGTTATTCAGGATGAGTGAAATCGATAAATCGATTTTTACTTAAGTGAATGTCACTATCGATTTACATGGTAATCGAATTGCATGGTTCCTGTCTAACGCAGCAGATCATCCCACAATTTATCCTTTATTTTTGCAATAACGTAATCTCAATTTATACTATTTTATCGCTTAACTGTGTAAATTAAGGGTTAAGCGTATTGTCAATTTCAATTGATAATGTCTATTACGCAGGTAAGAAAAATATCGTATGCATTCGAATTAAATTGTCTCGTACATTTTCATTCGAAGACGTGTAAAATGACAAATAATAGGGTCAAAATATCAGCATTACTCACATGTACCCATCTCTGGCTAGACAATCAGTGAATAGCAGACAAACGACGAGAACGATCGACCGGGCGTCGATTCTCGGTCGCATCGTGCCGTGAGATCGAGATTCGCGTTACACCTCGATCTTAACCACAGAAAAATTGTCGCGTAGCCCGACGCATCATCTCGTTCTGTTTTTACCGTGTGAATACGAACCGGCAAATATACATTCACCTAGCGTCGAAGAAACTTCCTGAACCTCGAGGGACCGGCGAGATGTCTCGATTATTTTTGGTACAGGAACGGCGCGCGCCGTCTCATAAACCGACGAACCACGAAACCCGGTCCTACACTGCGTTGTTTCTTTCGCATGGCCCGCGTGTATTTATAAAATAGTTGCCCTCAGTTTAGAAGATGATCGCGTCTCCAGATCCACGTAACCCTTGATTTGTACGGTTCCTCTTTAATATAGATGGAAAAATGCGACAAAATTTTGTTCTACGATGTTCTGCTTGACAATTTTTTTACAGCAGTGTTAACGTTCACACGAAATATCGAAATCGAAAGAATTAATAGCGATAGTGACGATTTTCACATACTGAAAACGAAGGGAACGACTGTTTCTTCGTTTGACAGGCAAAGAAGATTCACAGGATATTAATTAACCGTATATATCGAGGGTTATGTGTGCTTGTTCCATGTGCATGCATATATCGAGTAGCCATGAGGGATCTTTTTTATCGACCAATGTTATTCGTTTACGAGAATCGAATACTGTCAATTTTATAGGTTTATCGATTGTTAGATACTTCATCATCAACTATATATTATTTCATAAATTTTTTATCCAATTAACGAGAAAACCTTTCGAGATTCAAAGAAGCACACAGTCCCGCTATGTTAATCGAATTAAACGTTTCATTCGCCGTGGCAACCGGTGATATACACCATTTACAAGGTACCAAGTACACGTGGGTAACCTGAGACCTGTGTTATCGTAGAAAAAGTGCATAGACGTCTGGAAGTTGCATTCTTATGCCAATTCCCAGCCCCCATTCCGAAAACATCAGCGCGTCGTTTTATATTTCGTACCATTTCATCGATATTTTATAAGCAGGAACTATGCCACGCAAAGTAACATAACAAGATACGACCGCGATTCTGCACTCAATGCAAAATTTGAAGCTTCGTCGCGAAGCTTCTGTAGAGTTGCTAAGTTGCGCAACGTGGAAAGAATACCGTACATCATCTGGTATCGTTCTGTTAACAAACGCCATGATCGATAGCGTGCAACTGGCAATCACTTAAGGTGGAATCGAGAACATATCATGTGCTTAACAAGTTTCAAAAGACCTACCTAACGTGTACGTGTTTGCAATCATCAGAATTGCTGCATCATTACTGCTCGCCCGGGACTATTCAATACCTTATCACATGCAACCGTCGGCTTGTCGGTTCAACGTTAGAACCATTATACATGTGCCTGAAAGTCTGGTGATTCCGACTGACCAATCGCCATTCGGCTTGCTTTAACCTTCTTTCCCCCGCAGAAACCATCCTTCATGGTTTAAGTAACGATTTTAGGAAGACTTTCACTCAGTCGTACGATACTTTTTTCGTTTAATTACTTCATTTAAAGTATTCCAGTATACATTTTTATGCTTTCTACAAATTTATTTTTAATAAATTGTAAAGTTTCTATAATTTCTTTTACCGATTGATACATAGCGAACTATATTATCGATCAGTATTTCCGCGAAAAACCGCCCGTTTTACGAGCTACAAAAATCGACCAACCAATTCGGCCTCGACGAACCCTAACTGTAGAGCCCCAATTCCGTATCCCTCGTAAACGTCCAAAACAACGACGTGGAGCGCTCGATTACATTTGCGACGACCTTGGCTAACCGGCTCTTTTTTCTACAAAGAAGATAAATTAGTATTCCCGCTTGGGACAAAATGCCACCATAGAAAATGTATTACAATACATCGGAATACACAATTGTAAACACGTAAAACGTCAATGAATGTTCAATGGATTGATAGGTTATAACAAAAAAAATACAATAACAGTTTTTTTTCTGCATCGAAACGTTTTGTTACTTTTTATTTAAAATATACAAAGCAAATGTTTCCTTACAAATCTTTTACAAATACGTGCGTCACTGGAAAGCACAACGTCGAATTTTTCAAAGAATTTAAAAAACCTTCCTCTTAATGAATGGTGTAACGCGTGACGTTATGAGTCAGTAGAATTTTACGTCGTTCCACACCCGAGTAAGTACGTAACAGACCACGTGTTCTCATGGAAATGATAACATTTCAAAGTGTAGCGTGCGTCCAGCGGATCGTAGTTGAATCGAAGGAAACCCCTCTTTCCGTATGTGCATTAATGGTGCTGTTGCAGTATGATCGATAAAACCCACGACGTCCTCCTTTATTAATTGATTTTCTTATAGGGTTTCACTATGGAGTGATGAATCGACAACTCAGCAGCCCTTACGTAAAATGATGCTCGTTTCACGACAGCTGAAAGAGGGTGCAACATGTGCTGATCGACGAGCAATTGGCATATCTGCATAATCGATATCATTCGTCGATACGTAAAATATCTTACGATAACCTTGTAAAATATAAAAAACACTCGTTCAATCTTCGAATCTACATTCTCTTTATATCATTATTTATACAAATGAATTCATACCATAGCCGTGGAAATGAATAAATAAATATACTTTTATTTAGACAGTATTACACAAAAAAAAGCTACCCCGATCAAAAATCAATCATGTTTCTGTTACAGAATGAACCGGTGAAGGTTAGGTTAGGCGGAAAATCTATGGTAGTAAGTCATTCGTGAAAAGGAGGAAACCTCGCGGAAATTATTATCAGAACGTGTCGAAAAGGTGTTAGCGGGGGACGCACAGTGCCGTAGAACACTGGGGGGGACAGCTGGTGCATAGGGATTGATATTGATTTGAAGCACGCGGAGCCGGTTGCCGGGCAGTCGCCGGTCAGGCGTACGTCGAACAACAGACCGAACTCAAATGCCTCCCGAGTGCCTGGACGTCGAGGAGCGTAGCAGCAGCGTGCAGGAGAAGATATCCTGCATCGATGGCAGGATCAAGGAGTTGCCATTCACGCCGCCCGCCCGGCTATGCGGTGCGAACGTTTTATCCTGATACTTTTCCATTCTTTCCGCCACTTTTCTCCATCAGTCGCGCCGTTATCATTGACTGCATCGACGGTGAAAGCTTGAATTTATCCACGTTGCTGAGTATACGGGATTTTTCAGTACAGTGCCAGAAAACAGTTCTGAAGATATTCATTAAGTTCTTCGAGAATTTGTGTTCCTTGGTGGTGCGTGTGGATATTCTTTTTTATAGTTTTGCTATTATTATCGATAGCTGTAGAAAAATTTGTTGAAACGTGAGAATCGTCATTTATGATTAAAGGAATAGAATTTGAGTTTTGTTGAAAGATTTGAAATAGTGTAACACAATGTGCTCGTCCTTTCCTCGTTGTACAGTTATCCCATGGGCTTTCAGATCTCCCGCTAATATTTATGTGTGACGTCAGGCCACGCAAAAACCACATTCCTATTGTTTTTGCGAGAGAAGAACTCGGAGCACGGTTGATCGTTGCCTATTTACCTCGTGTACTAGTTCACATGTTTTTCGCCGTCTCTCGAAACTCGTTTCTTCCGTTTTCCTGGATCTTTCCGGTAATATCTATTTAAAGAATAATACAATCCTGAGAATAATACGTGCCTTGGTTGTTTTGCGGTAAGTTTACGCTATTACGTTCTACACAATGTGCATATTCCATGAAAAATAACATTGATCTTGGAGTCGTTCAAATCTCTATACGAAAATTCTACAATTTTCACTTTTTTACGCGAAATAAATCTGCATAATTATTTACAACGTTCGTATCGATAGTTCGTTTAAGTAATTCAAATTTATCGTTACATGGAATGTTTACAGTTGAAATTGTAAGGGTAATAAAGGATCGAATTCTAAGGACATCCTTTGGAATGAAAATCATCGGACGAGCGGCTTCGCCACAAAGAAATGCATTCCATAAATGTGTGTGCACTGGAGCTCGGCCGTTCAGGGGCGGTTTAAGTAGATAGTCGACAAAGGGTGGAGGAAGGGAAAGGGTAATGTACGGATTGAATTAATTTCACTCATGGCATAGGGTTTTGACCAGGCAAGCCAGGAGACTGGTCAGTGACGGGTCAGGCGAGCTATCGTGCAGTCAGGTCGTGTGTTTATGGTGGTGAGGATCGACGGGATCGAGGAGCACATTGATCGTGTCGCCAACCCCCGACGGCTTAAGTTCAACTACCCTCTTTGTGAGCCGATTATAATACTTCTTTTCTTTCTATTTTAGACGTAGACTCTTTCGTTTTCCATTTTTCTTTCACTGTATAATAAAAATTACGATAAGGTTAATTATGAATTATTAATGAAACGTGATAGAGAAATGTTTAGTCTTTTAAGAATACCTGTATACAGAGATATAGATAGTCGATCATTCATTGATAAGAACCATTTAATATCCAGGCGATAATGCAGAATTCTATCAGATGTCAGCATAAGTAGATTGCGCACATATCGAGTTACATGGAGAAAGTTTCGAATTCATCTGTAACTACAACGATCAGTATTTCATTTTGTCTGCCAGTCGTATAATCCGTAAGTAAAGTATAATTAAAAAAAAACAAAACAAAAACAAATGCTAATATTCGAATTTCATCGGTATTTTTCGTGTTTAACCTTCAACGCGTTAATTCTCCGTTGACGTTCATAGCAAAAAGTTATTCTTCTCGGTAAGAGAGAGAATCCACGTGGGTGTCACGAATTGGTCTAAATTTATCGATGCATTCAATTATCGTTAGAAGTGTACCTTACCCACGGTATGGGTACTGTGAACGCGATAATCGATCGTTTAATCGAATTTCAATGTAATACGTGATTCAAAAATTTACTATTCTACGCCAATGTTTGTTTTCATGTTCGTTCTTTCGTTGTTATGAAAATAATTGTTCTGTAAAAGATGCAAATTCATCAAGGAGCGAAATCTGTGAAACAATTTTGCTACCTGTCCTCGCACGATCGCAATGATAATGATAGAAGATTACGATAAATTAAGAGGGAATTGGTATTGGTCGATTGACCGTACTGTCACGGCCTCTACACATGTACGCACGGTGCGTGAGCTTACAGCACTGTCCGTGCGAACCTCAGCGCTTGGGGCCAACAGGGTTAATTAGTTCAAAGTAGTCTCCATCTGTGCCGGTGTCTGGGCAATGCGATTAAAGATTTTACACGGCTGTCCCACCTCAATCGCTTCAATGCCTCGAATGAGCCATGACTCGCTCCTCTCCTTCGTTACTCTCGTTTTAACCATTATAACCTATAAATCGTGCCGCGTACACTTCAGTGCATTTAACTATTATAGGATCGAATTGGAGAATTATAATCAAATGAAGAAGGAGCGAATTTTATTACGTTATTTGATTAGCAATTAAAGATTATGAGGCACCTAATTAATCATATGATTAATATAGCCGTACTTTGTCAGTTCCCATAGCTTCAATTAGTGACAGATCAATTATAGTACACACGTGTATTTATCGAGTAAATTATGGGAGATATACTTGTATGAAATGTGGAATTTCAAAGTTAAAACATTTATTCGTGTAAGTTCCGTATGCTTTCAATGTTAGTATCTTATCGGGAATTCTATAATGTTCCGTGTAAAGTCGGTATCTATACTTAAATGCAGAAATAATTGTTGCTATTATTTACAACACATTCTTTTATCTTACCTAATTTCGTCATGGTTACACGTCATTTAAAATCGGTGTCGTTAACGTGTAAAATTAAAAGTATTTTGTCAAGGTTAATAAATATTGTCATGTATTATGAAGAATATCATTTTTGAAAAGACAAATTAAAATTAACATTTAAACGAGCGCTATTTTTCGCGCGAAAAATAAAAAAATTTGAATAGAACCAACATGGCTGCGTCCACGGTAGTTTTTTAGTCATACGTAGAGGTTAGGTTCCTACTTCTACGCCGACGGTATTACTTCACTGATCGGGCTTCTGTCAGACTTTCATAAATAAAAGATGGTGTCGACATCATACAGAAGTCTCTTAGTACCAAAACGATTCCTCTTTCTACTTGTACAATGTTCGTCATGTAAGTTATTTCGCAGTACGATCGATTGTTAACAACCAAACGATTACTGTTTGCACTCCTCTTTAAGACAGTACCTGTCATCGAGTCACTTGACTGTGTCACACTATTACACTTATTTTTATCCACCAAAAAAAATTATTCGCGAAAAATCACGGTGTCGATCACTTA